TCAATCTATGCTATGAGAATTCCAGGCTAAACTTTAGCAAATACACTTGTGAAACAACAGCAGGGCCACACAAAGACTTCCTTAGTTTAATGTGGTAACAAAATGGTCAAATTTCTTTGTGTCATTCTGCTGAACTAGAAATGTAGCCTTTTGTAATGTTTTACTACTTGACACAATGGGTTTGCTGGTTATGATTACACTTTCTTCCAGCACAGTTAAGTAATACTATTCTGTGATAGCCTGAATTTCATCCGATTGCTTCGAGTGGTTTTCTTCTCTCAGCAACGTCTGAATCAACCAGCCGTTAATGCCATCCAGTGACGTCACTACTACCTGACAACCAGGTTGATTGTCTAAAGATTTGTATAATTATGTAATTTTATGAGAAATTTTAGCAGGATTAATTGTCACTTGATATTCATGGGATCGCATTGGTGGCATGCTTGCTTGGAGTTCAAACATTTCGATTATGTAATCTTTATCGTAAACAGCAAAATAGCCCTTGTCTTCAAAACTGAATTGCTAAATTGAACCGCGAATGAAGAATCATTTCAGGGTCGGTAGGTTTTTCATTTATACCGGCTTTGTGGTTTCGGCAGTGATTTTGTTTATGCAAAGTTTCTGAGACCAATGTCATGTTGTCATTCGACCTACACTGGCTATTTTCACCACCAGGTGATTCTGTTAGCTTTTCTTTCTTGTTTCCTTGTTTTCTTTTTTCTTCATCGAGGACCCAATAGCTTCTTTTTAATTAAAGGAAATTGTTTTGTTTTTGAACTAAGTGTTCGGTGCGTGTATTTATTTCATTGCGTGATTGTGACTGAGTTTGAATTACAACCATGCAGTTCAGAGTACTGCATGCAGTTGATAGTTTGAATGTTAAACATAGATTACGATTGAAAAGAGTAAAGCAATTCTGTCAGCTGGTCTGTATCATGTAGACATTTCCAAGCGATATTTCTTTGTTTGCCACTTGAAAATTGTTTTACCTTTTGCATGAATTAAAAAGAAGTAGTAATGTCACTGGAGGGCATTAATGGCCGGTCGATTGAGATGTTACTGAGGGAGTAATAATGACACAAAGTAATCGGATGAGATTGAGGCTAATTCCGTGATACATAACTAAAACTGCTGCTCAAAAGTTAGTTGGCAGTCGCTTGAAACTCAGTTTTCAAGACTTGGGCCTCAGTTCTCCATTATTGAAACACATGCAGGAGACCACCCTCTTTGGTGAAGGGCCTGTGTGTGGCTTGGGGCAGAATCCAACCCCCCGCCCCTCACTTTTGGGCGAAAAAGAAAAAAAAAGCAATTATTCACCGAAGTGGAGGTGGCTAGTGCTGCATATTTACCGAGGCAGCGAAGCGGTGAGGTATATATCCACCACTAGCCACCAACACTGAGGTGAATAATTGTTTTAGTATATACTAAAACAGTGATATAACTGAGCACAAAAATGATGATTTTTAACTCATGTACTTTTGCCAACGATTACAATTTTGGCGTGCAATGACCGAACGGCCGCGGTCATCGCTTTTTCTTGCCAACAAATAAAACTTTTGAAGGCATTTGTTTAGCTCTTGCAGGGAAATTTCTTCAAGAGGAGTTGTGAATTCTTTTGGTATTTAAAATCATTCTGTGAAAAAGATTACTAAATTTAGTTTTAAGCTTGTTTATGAACAAGTCAGCCAAATAAAAAAACCCAAGACTTCAGCTTAACTTGCATTTGGAAACAAAAAAACTTTTTCACCGGTTTTATCGATAAATTCAAGTAAAAAAGACAAAGCTTTATCTGTAAACTTCAAAACCAAACTTCGTCACCTTCTTCGTGTATTTCTGGAACAGCTTGCTTGATTAGTTGTGAAATTTCTTTGTTTGTTACGGCAGCAAACAGGGAAGGCATTTTGCTCGCAACTTACACGATTTTGGTGTTGCTCGCTCGGAGGAACTAGAGGTGTTTGAATAGTGCAGGATATTCACTGATTGGGTAGCCAATCAGCGTGTACGAAAAACACTATCCGCTGTTTTAGTATATACTAAATATATATATCTGTCTGGATTTGTTAAAACATGGCTAAAGAAATTTCAAGTGCATTTTAACTATTTGACATCTAAGTGGAATGGGAAGCAGTTAAAAATCACTAGCTGAAGCTAAACAATGACAGCATTATTGCTGGCAAAAG